GGATTTTTCCCGAAAGTTTCTGTATATCGGAAGCATAAGAAAAAAATTTTTTAAGTTCTCTGTTTAGACTATATTCAGAAGTATCCTTTTCCTTAAGAGCAAAAATAAGATTTTTTTTTCAAAAACTCACTACTTGAAATTCAAGGCTTTAAAAACTCTCACACTGTGTCCTCTCTGTAAACATTTTACCTTAAGATACAATTCTACTTTAAGATACAATTGCAGAAAAATGCAATTATATGTTTTATTATCAATGCCTTTTCATCCTGAAAGATGAAACTGGTCCTTTCAAACAGTTCAAGAGTCATATGAGAGGTATAAAATGCTCAAGAGATCAAGAATTTATTTTATTTTAAAATGTTAAAAAACTACACCAAGACACATCATAATTAAAATGCCAAGAGCAAAAGACAAAGAGAGAATCTTAAAAGCAGCAAGAGAAAGAAACTCAGTTACCTACAAGGGAATACCCATACGACTGTCAGCTGATTTCTCAACAGAAACTTTGCAGGCCAGAAGGGAGTGGCAAGAAATATTCAAAGTGATGAATACCAAGAACCTACAACCAAGATTACTTTATCCAGCAAAGATATCATTCAGAATTGAAGGTCAGATAAAGAGCTTCACAGATAAGGAAAAGCTAAAGGAGTTCATCACCACCAAACCAGTATTATATGAAATGCTGAAAGGTATCCTTTAAGAAGAGGAAGAAGAAGAAAAAGGTAAAGATACAAATTATGAACAACAAACATGCATCTATCAACAAGTGAATGTAAGAATCAAGTGAATAAATAATCTGGTGATCATAATAGAATCAGGGACATAGAAAGGGAATGGACTGACTATTCTTGGGGGGGAAAGGGGTGTGGGAGATGCGGGAAGAGACTGGACAAAAATCGTGCACCTATGGATGAGGACAGTGGGTGGGGAGTGAGGGCGGAGGGTGGGGCGGGAGCTGGGAGGAGGGGAGTTATGGGGGGAAAAAAGCGGAACAAATATAATAATCTGAACAATAAAGATTTAATTAAAAAAAAAAAAAAGAAAAACCCTAAAAAAAAAAAATGTTAAAAAACTTAAGTGTACTCTCCCGGCCATCCAAAAACTGATAAGCAAGGAGCTGAAAAGGATAGACTTGCCAGGAAAAATGTGTAAATATAACAGCTACTCCTCAAATGAAAACACATAAATGCTGTAATTATATCTCTGGGTATTTGTTAACCCAAAAACTCACCATGCTCTTGAGGCTTATACTGTCACTAAGAACTATCAAATTGAAATCATAGTTGTAAACATAACTGGGATACTTTATATGTTTAAAAGATTTCCAATGTTTCACAAGGGATGATGTATAAGAAGGAAAGTCAGTAACATTTGCCAAAACTGTTCCTTTCCGTCATTGTGAAATTAAATCAAGACTGAAATTCTTTTTTACAATCATAAGACTCACTTTGTAAAATTCTTCTGTTCAGATAAGGAGAGGACTAGCCTGACTTGTAAGGGATTGTTATTCCATTTCATGATGTAGCTATGTAAAAGCCTAGGAAGCTACCAGGAAGGTCACATGAATTGATGGATAATGAGCATTCATTCAACAAAATATTGATAAAGTACCCATAAGTGTCAGGTGCTATTCTGGGCCCTGAGGTTACATCAGTGAAAAAGTCTCACATTTAGGGTTAATGGGGGAGCCAATAAAACTAGTAAATACATATGTATTTGCCAAGTGGTGTAAGTGCTATGAAGATAAATAAGTAAAGTGAGTTGAAGGAGGGCTGGAGAATGAAGTGTATATTACCCACAATGATCAGGGAAAGCCTGATGGTTATACCTGAGCAGAGACTTGAGGTCAGCACCATGCTATCCAGGGAACAGAGTTCTAGATAGAGGAACAGCAAGTGCAAAGTCATTGAGCCTAGGGTATGCTTGAAGTTTTTAAGGCATAGCAAAGAGAACCATCCAGCATGGCTGAAAGTGAAGACAGGAGATAGCCTGACAGGCAAGAACTTCAGATTTTACTTTAAAATGAGAAGCTATTAGAGTGCTCTAACAGAGGTTCTAACTTTTTAAAAAGATCACAAAGGGAACACAAGTTCTTACTCATAAAAACAAAACAAGGAGATATCTCTCAATCTATTTATAAGTTTTAAAAAAATGCAAAAATACAATCTTATAGTATGGTAGCATTTTGTAAAAAAATACACATAGGAACAAAAAACTAAAAAGATAAATACTGTGATTTACTATGGTTTGTGGGATTGTGATTTTTTTCTTAGGTTTTGGTTTTTCTAGTTTTCTGCCTTACACATGAATTACTTTTGAAAATTTAAATGTTATCTTAAGGGGGGAGGGAGCACTCCCACTGTGAGACTGCCTTAGTCTCAAATTTTAATTATGGGGAAAAAATAAATAAAGCATGGGAAACATTTTCTCCAAAAATTACTCGACTTTCTATTCAATGTTTGCCTGTAATGAAGCACTGCACAAATCAAGTGCTGTTCAATGTATCAAGGTCACAAAACCAACTTGGTTAATATGTTTATCATTACACTAGAGGCCTGGTGCATGAAATTCGTGCATGGGAAGGGGGGTGTCCCTCTGCCCAGCCTGCACTCTCTCCAATCTGGGACCCCTCAGGCGATGTCCAACTGCCGGCAGTTCGGACATCCCTCTCACAATCCAGGACTGCTGGCTCCTAACCACTCGCCTGCCTGCCTGCCTGCCTGATTGCCCCCTAACCTCTCCTCTGACAGCCAGATGGCCCCCAACTGCCCTCCCCTGCTGGCCATATTGTGGTGGCCACCTTGTGGCAGACATCTTGTGACAATGTGAGGGTGGCCATCTTGTGATGATGTGAGGGTATCCCGTGAGGGCATGAGGACCACCTAGGCTTTTGGCTTTTATTAGTATAGGTAGTAGCTCTGTCCTCTAAAGCAACTTTGATTACCATCTTTCCAGGGCAGCAATAGAAAGCCCTTTTCATTAATTTCTTAAGACTCTTTGGTACTATTTTGCTGCTTCTGGATTTTTCCACTGTATGTCTCTTAGAAACAAATTAAGCCAGAATAAGTTGTTCCAGCTAATGAAGTGTACTTTGGGTTCTTTCCCCGTGATTGAGAATTCTCCAGCAAAATACCAAATTGTTTTAGGACGCATTTTCTCTTAGTTTTGAAATATTGCAATACTAGGTTACTACAAATAAAGAGCATCAAGATAACAATATACAAGAATGTGTATAGTCCTAACTGGTTTGGCTCAGTGGATAGAGCATCCGACTGGGGACTGACGGGTCCCGGGTTCGATTCTGATCAAGGGCATGTACCTTGGTTGCAGGTACATCCCCAGTGGGGGGTGTGCAGGAGGCAGCTGATCGATGTCTCTCTCTCATTGATGTTTCCAACTCTCTATTCCTCTCCCTTCCTCTCTGTAAAAATTTCAATAAAATATATTTAAATAAAAAAGAATGTGCATAAATGGAAACTACAGGACTCCTTTTTTAAAGCAAGGATAAGTGGGGGTCTCATGAGTAAATTACTATGTGTCCACATAATTTAAAACAGAAAAGAGTATATGCCCTCCCTACTCCTTTATCCCCGCCCCCCTATCATTTAACAGTTTCTCCCAGGGCACAAACTCAGGACAATCACTCCTCAGAAATGCACACTCAACTCAAAGTGACTCGGGCTCTCAAACACTTTGCACCTGGGCGCCACATCCCACCCACCACTCCATCACGTTCAACAGTCTTCTCTGAATGAAAATCCCAAACCGGGAAGGTCTCACTGGCCCCCAACACCTCACACGCCACGCGCGGCACCCGGGAACGCGGCGCCCGGGTTTTCTGTCTTCGCGAGGCCCAACCAGGGTTCCAGGATTCAGGATCCTACTGTACCCCAGCGGGTCGAGTCCGGATTCATCTGCCTCCCTAGTCGAACTGGCGCTCTTTAGACCAGAGGCAGTGGCCGGGCCTTCCCCGCAGGACACGCGGGCCGGCGGGAGTCGGAGCAAGTGGCTCTGACCTCCCAGCATCTCCGCCTCCCGTCAGTCAGGCCGTGCCCGCACTCCCTTCCCTGCTCTCGGGCGCACGTGTCGCCCCCCCGGGGCACCCTCGGACACGCACCCTCACACGGGCGGGAGGGCGGGCATCTTCGGACCCCCACTTTCCCTCCACACCCCCCTCGTTGCTCCTTTCGCAACTGTCTGGCCGACCTGAGCTACACTGAACCCTAGGAGCGGTGGCACCCCACGCCCCCAGGACGCCCGAGCCTGAAGCTGGGGGAGGGGGTGATGACAGATGGGCGAAGGGCGGGGCTTCGGGGGGAAGGGGCGGGGCCTCCCAGCATGGAGGTGCTGGCGGCTGACAGTAAGAGTGGGGCAGCAGGCGGGAGGGGTACGCGGACACTGCGGGCAGGGCCGGGGGGTCAGACGTGGCGGGAAGGAGCTCGCGCAGACACAGGGGGCTGACAGGCAGAGACACACACAGACACGGGAACTGACAGTCGCGGGGACACACGGGCCGGCGGGCCGGCGGGCCGCGGCAGGCGCTCACCTGGCAGCGGCGGCGACGGCGGCGGCGCCCGCGGCCGGGCGGCTCTCACCGCGCTCTGGGCCTTTCTCCTGGCGGCCGCCCGGCCGGCCGTCGCAGGCCCGGCTGAGGCGGCGGCGACGCCGGAGCCGCAGACTGCTGAGCGGCGGGGACGCAGCTGCACTAACCGACTCCCGGCCGCTCGGCTCGGCTCGGCCGTACTCGGAGACGCTCGGCTCCGCTCGGTCCCGCTCGGCTCGGTTGGGGGCGTGGCCCGAGGCCCCCCGCCCAAGTCGCCTCTGGCGCCGGTGGGCGGGGCTTCCATGGAGCGCGAGCCCCCTGACGTACCCGGGACCAGACCTTGCCCCGGGCGCATGCGCGGGCTGCGGTCCCGCTCTGCCCCGCGTGGAACTTGAGGGGGTTGGTGAAGAAGGGGACAGGGGCGGATGCTGCGGCCCCAGAGGTTACCGGCTTTTGTATTCCATATCCTGGTCTTTCTGGAGGACCAGCTAAGGAAGGCCACACCAAGCTACACTTTGAAAAGGATGTGGGCAGGGGCCAGAGGCCGTCTCCGCCCTCTCCCCCACCCCCCGTCCAGTGTTTCCCAGCACGCGTCACCTTGGGACTCCGTCTTTTTTTCATCCCACCCACAGGCACGTCACGGCAGTTTTGAAACTCTTCTGTTTCCTAAACGGGACAACAACTCCTCATCACTGCTTTCCTAACGTTACATTTTCAGGGACTTGAAACTTGAAAGCATCAATGAGCCCCCTCATAGAATAATGCTGGCCCTTCTTCACAGCTTCGGTTGTGTAACCTGTAACACCTGGGATGGGAGTGGGCCTTTTCCTGAGATTTCCTCACATGCTCCAGGCACCGTGTTTGTTATAGAGCCCAAGTCTGCAGCAAATGTGCTCAGGAAGTGGTCCCCACCTCTAGGATCTAGTGATTAATAAACAGCAAGAGCTCTGCAGCCTGACTAACTGGGTTGGAATCCCAGATCTGCATTATACCAGCAGATGAATAGTTGGTAGAGTGACTCGGGACATGCTACTTAATCTCTCCTCCGTAAAGGAGCTATGAAAATATTAGTAACGAAGCCAATAGGAATGGTTGAAAGGATTAAATAGCAGCACAGGTCAAGTTTTCCACACAGTGCCTGTTGTTGAATAAATAAGGCTGGCTTTAACTTTAGTTTACTTGCAATTTTCAGCGCCTGAAAACCAGTCAACATATACGAAGGTGGGCCAAAGTAGTGAGTATGCGAAAATTTATTTTTGTATTATGTATTTTTCTGTATGAACTGTAAACCTACTTTTGCCCCTCACCCACACACACACAAGGGCTGAGCAATATGTCAAACTTGACATGTACAATGCCAAACTGAAAACTGCTCCTCAGCTTGCTCCTTTCACAGTCTTCCCCACCTCAATGAATGTCAGTTCCTCCTCCTGGTGGCTCAGGACAAACCATTGGAATCATCCTTGACTGGTCTCTTGTATCACATCCCACACGCAATCTAGCAGCAAAGCTTGTCAGCTCTCCCTACAGTACCCTCATCTTCTCTTTCCTGGAGTATTGCAATAACCTGCTACCTGCTCTCCCTGAATTCACTCTGCTCTCATGGCTGCTTGTTCTCAAGCAGCCAGAGGGATTCTGTTGAAACCTAAGTCAAAACATAGTTCTCCTCTAAAGCCTTCAATGGCTTCCCACCTCACTCAGAGCAAAAACCAAAGTCTTTTTTTCAAGGACCTTCAAGATTCTATGTGACTGCACCCCTCCACTCCCCAGCACTCTCCGTCTCCATCCAATCCACCCCCTCACTCCATTCCAGCCACACCAGCCTCCTTCCTGCTCCTAGAACATGCAGGCCACTTTCACCTCAGCACCTTTGCCCTTGGTATTTCTTCCCTCCAAGATATCAAAAAGGCATGCATCCTTACTCCAAATATCTACTCAAAAGTCATCTCCCCAGGCAGGCTGGTGTGGCTGAGTTGGCTGAATGCTGACCCATGCACCAAGAGCTCACGGGTTCGATTCCTGGTCAGAGCACATGTCCCAGTTTTGTGCTCAATCCCCAGTAAGAGGCCTACAGGAGGCAGCCGATAAATGTTCTCTTTCTTAGATGTTTCTGTTTCTCTCCCTCTCCCTTCCTTTTTCTCTAAAATCAATTATATATATATATTTAAATCAACTCCCCAGAAAGACCTCCCAGACCACTCTACTAAAATATCAAGTCCCAACCCCCATCACTCTCTCTTTCCTCATCCTGCTTTATTTTTCCTCATGGCCCTTATGACCTGAATATCATCTGTAATGTCCCAAGGGCAGGAACTTTGTGTTCTAGCATCTGGAGCATGGCCTGACATGACCTGAATATCATCTGTAATGTCCCAAGGGCACGAACTTTATATTCCAGCATCTGCAACATGGCCTGACATGCTCAAGCACTCAATAAATATTTGTTGAATGAAAGTATATATGGAATGTGTTGTTCCAAAGGACTCCATTTACTCAACCGGCTTATCTGAGCATGTATTCTGACCCAGGCCCTGTGGGATGCAGAGGTAAAGGAGGCACTCTTCCGACCACTGAGAACTCAGTATTTTGGAGGAGACAGACATGTAAAGAAGCGCTTCTGGAAGAAAGTATGTCACGCTCTATGGATATGCACACTGCTTTGGGAAGTAGAGAGAAGGACATAATTAATACTACATAAGAGAGTGTGGAAAGGCTTCCCAGAGGAGGTGACATTAGGCTGGTTCTAAAGAGATGAGGAGGAGGAGACTCCAGGCAGAGGAAACAGCATGCACGTAAAACCAGTGTTGGGAGGTTTGTCACAAATCTCATTTACCCAAGGAGGCAAATTATTATTTTTTAAATAATTTAAGAAGATTCCAGGTGGTTCCTATAATGTCACCTGCACTCACTCACATTCTGATGAGCTTTCTCAAGCGGGAAAGAAACTGTCAGAAGTATAGTTGATGCAATCGAGTTATAACCTGAGCTCCGTTTTATTGGAGTGAGCTACACCTGTGACTTTTTTTTTTATGTCAGGGCCCAGAAGCAAAGAGCATTTTTCATTAGATGTTTACTGGCTGCGAGTACCAGTTACCCATCAGGCCAGTTTAAGGAAAATAAAAGGATAACTTAAAGCTTGGGGTGGGGGCAGGAGGGTGGTTCTCTCAGGCCAAGGGCAAGAACCCAGCTGGACTTCTGGATGAATTAGAAGTAGAGCAAGGGTTACCAGTAGGACCATCTCTCTGCAAACTTGTTTTCTCTGATTCATGATAATAAAATGGACATATGTCTGCCAGCCACTCCCAAGTACATGACAATTCCAGAGAGAGACTAAAAATCCCTAATTGTTCCAATTTCCAAATCCCAGAAAAGAGGCTCTCATTGCCCCAACTTGAGTCAGGTGCCCCCTCCTAGTTCACCAGGAACCCACCGCTGTGGATCAGGACCACAAAAAAGGAATTGTTTGGGGTTGAGGAGATATCTTAATAGCACTCCCTCATAGAACCATTAATTTCACATAATGGAAAAACATCTGGGAGACATTTGATTGTGACACAGGAGCTGATTATTGAGTTTCTGATTTCTGCTTAGTAGGGAGGCCTCTATAGGCAGCAATCAAAGCAGGAAGTTGTTCTTTTCCCAACAAAAAGTGGACAGAAACTGGGGTGGTCTCCATAAGTCCTCTGTAGTGGGTATTCTGATGGCCTCCTGTGGTAGTTTATATTAATGCCAGCCACCAAAGATTTTTGGGTTCGCTTGTGAGACACCTGTTAGGATTGTACTTCTTTACATCGGTGAGTCAGGAGTGGCCATGTCACTTACTTTTATGATGGTCAATAAAGTATGAGTAGAAGTATATCACTCCTGGACCCACATTTTAGGAGCTAGTAGGCTATTTTTTGTTTTCTCTTTCCCTCAGTAACAGCAAAAGACAATGCTTGAGATAGTTGTAGTTCCATCAGCCTAGGTCCTGGAGTGAGAAAACGTGGAATAATGCCCCTAGATGACCCACAGTGGATATGTAGTATTAGCAAGAAATAAACCTTTGCTGTTATTAAAAAAAAAAAAATTGTGCTTGTTTGTTATCACAGCAAAACCCAGCCTATCCCGAGAGATGCATCTTCCTAACATCCAGTCTATCTCACCCCCCATTGTACAGCAAGACAATCTGAGTGGGAGGGACCCTCATCTCCCACATGGGTGTGGACCCTAAGCCAGTTGAAGTAATCTCATGCACCTTGTATTGGTCGCTCTAGCGATAGCCCTCTTACCCTGGCCTACATCTATCAGTACCCAATATTTACCTCATTGCAATAGTTGCATAAAACCTCCACTGTCTCCCTGGATGGCAGTAAGGAGCTATTTGCTGCTGGCAGCTACTTTGTGACCAGGAAGAGGGTCAGCCTAATGATGACACCAATGCATGGAAAAGGAAAGGGCAGATGAACTGAAGAGAAACAGAGCTTGGGTGCCGATCAAGGCTTACCTGAATCCATCTACCCAATAAAGCTGCATAAGTCAATAAATTCCCTTTAGCATCGATTCTCATTTGACTTGGATTCTCTTATAGTTGAAACCAAAAGCATTCCAACTATGACTGTTCACTGCATACTTCTGAGTAGTAGCCAGTGCCATTAACTCGCAGGTGGGAAAGAGTCTGAGCTATGAACACGTGCAGGAAGAGAAGCTGAGAATTCTACCTGATTTATATGCCAGTTCCTTATCAAGAATGAGTATCAGGACGCAGGCACAGCACAGAGAAGGACCAGGATGAGGCCTGATGTCAGAGCCTGTCTTCTGCTAGCACTCACAGCTGGGGTCCTCCTGCCTCTATGGACAGCCCAGCCCAGGACCCCCATCCTAACACAGGGTGGGATCTGGAATCACATCTTATTTTCTAAATATGCAGTTTCTGCTGGACCAGAGACGAGTTTGAATGTCCCTGAGCTCTCCAAGCTCAAGGCATTGTCTGTCCCCACCCACTGCTCTCCAATAAATATGTATTGTGCACCTACCATGTCCCTGACCCTCTGTTAGGTTCTGGATATGCAACAGTGAATAAAACCAGAGACCTTCATGGAGCTTACAGCCTAATAAGTAGGGCAGATATTGGTCAAATAATCAACAACATAAATCTTACATTGTGCCGGGTACCATGAGATCCGGGCGGGGGGGCGGGGGCGGGGGGGATGAAAACCTTGGAGAATTTAATGCTGGCAAGCCTGCACTACCAGATTTTCAAGTCAAAGAAAAACAATTCTAGGTGGAAACACAGAACTATAGGACAAAATGAAGATCACAGGAAACAGTATATATGTGGATAAATATGTGGAAAACTACTTTAACTTTAAAATAATTACTATTTAAAGCAATCACAATGTATTTTGAGATTTGTAACACATAAAAGTAAACAATATGACAGAAATATCATAGAAGGTAGAAGCAATAAAGATAATTATACTGTTATGAGGTTCTTACATTGTTGGGAAAATTGTAAAATACTAATTCAAGTTATGCTGCAATAAGTACGGGTGTATATCATAATCTCTAAAGTAAGCATTAAAAACATAAAAATGGTTTATCTAACATTCCAGTGGAAAAGAAATTGAAAGCAAGGCTTCAAAGAGATATGTGTACACTCATGTCCAAAGCAACATTATTCAAAATAGCCAAAATGTGGGAGCAGCTCAAATGCCCATCAATAGACGAATGAAAAAACAAAATGTAACATACTCATGCAGTGGAATGTTACTCAGCCTTTAAAGGAAGAAAGTTCTGACATATACTACAACATAGATGAACTTTAAAGACATGAAGCTAAGTGAAATAAGTCAGTCACGCACACAAAATAAAAATAAATGAGTCACAAAATACAAATACCCTACCGCTCCATTTATATGAATTACAGGCATACCTCAGAGATATTATGGGTTCAGTTTCCAACCACCACGATAAAGTGAATATAGCAATGAATCTTTTTGGTTTCCCAGTTCATATAAAAGTTATGTTTACACTATCCTGTAGCCTATTAAGTGTGCAATAGCATTACATCTAAAAAAAAAAACACCAGTGTATAGATCTTAATTTAAAAATACTTTATTGCTAAAAAAAAAAAAATGCTAACCATTATCTGAGATTTCTATGAGTCAATCTTTTTGCTTGTGGAGGGTCTTTTAATTTGTAAAAAAAAAAAAAAAAAAAAAAAAAAAAAAAAAGCAATATCTGCAAAGCACAATAAAGCCTAGTGAAATAAAGGTATACCTATATCTAAAGTAGTCAAATTGATAGAAACAAAAAATAAAGTGGTAGTTGCCAGGAGCTGGGATGTGGGGAGGAGTGGGCAGTTCTTGTTTAGTGGAGACAGAGTTTCAGTTGTGCTAGCGAGATGGAAAGTACTCTGGAGACGGCTGCACTGGAGTGGGAGTTACTTAAAGCTAGTGAACTGTACACTTAAAATGGCTACAATGGCACATTTTGTTACGTGTATTTTATTTTTTTATGCTTTTATTGACTTTAGAGAGAGAGAGAGGGGGAGGAGGGGGAGAGAGAGAAACATCCATGAGAGAGAGAAACAGCAATTGGCTAGCTCCTGCACACTCCCTACTGGGGATTGAGCCCACAACCTGAGCATGTGCCCCCCACTGGGAATCAAACTGGTGACCTCTAAGTGTATAGGACGGCACTCATCCAACTGAGCCACATTGGCCAGGGTTTGTTATGTGTATTTTACAACAGTTTTTTAGAAAAATTAAATGGAGCCCTAGACAGTTTGGCTCAGTGGATAGAAGACTGAACGGTCACGGGTTTGATTCCTGGTCAAGGGCAAGCACTTTGGTTGCAGGCTCAATCCGCACCCCAAATGGGGTGCATTTGAGAGGCAACCAATTCATGTGTCCCTCTCACATCACTGTTTCCCTCTCTCTGTCTCTCCCCTCTCTTCCACTCTCTCTAAAAATCAAAGGAAAAATATCCTTGGGTGACGATCAACAAAACAAAACAAAATCAAATGGAGAAGATAAAATGAAACAATAATATATCCAAAAGAAGTGAGAAAAACAGGAACAAACACCAGGTAGTACAAATAAAAGACAAATAAGATTATAGCGGTAAATGATTTGGAACCAGACCTTTAATTATGTTAAATGTAAGTGGGCTAAATACTTAATAAAAAGAAAAAGTTTGACAGGCTGAATTACACAAACAAAAAGACTCAACTATGCAAAATTTATAAGAAACTCACTTTAAGGACATATAGATTGAAAAATTAAAAATGGAAATATAGCTAACATTTAAATAAGAAATATTACCTACCTTATACAAATTCTATAAGAAAATAAGGGAACAATTCCCAATTTATAAGGTCAGCATAATCCTACTACCAAAACTTGGCAAGAATATGACAAGAGATAATACCACAGTCTAGTATCTTTCATGATCATAAATACAACAACCTTAAACAAAATGTTAGCAAATCAAATACAGCATAAATAAAAAGGATAATAAATAAAAACCAAGTGGAGTTTGTCCCAGAAAGGCAAATCCGTTTAACATTTTAAAATCAACCAAACACTTTAACATAATAAAATAAAAAATAATTTTTAAAAAAATATATTTTATTGATTTTTTACAGAGAGGAAGGGAGAGGGAGAGGGATACAGAGTTAGAAACATCAATGAGAGAGAAACATCGATTCAGCTGCCTCTTGCACGCCCCCTACTGGGCATGTGCCCACAACCCAGGTACATGCCCTTGACCAGAATCGAACCTGGGACCCTTCAGTCCGCAGGCTGATGCTCTATCCACTGAGCCAAACCAGTTAGGGCTAAAAAAAATAATTTGATCATCTAAATAGATGATTTTAAAAAGTACTTGCTAAAATTCAATACCTATTCACAATCAAAAACTTTTAGCAACCTAGGAATAGAACTTCCTCAATTTGATACAGGAAATATAGGGGGGGAAACAAAAACACCAAAGGTGGAGCTAACATCGTCCTTAATGGTAAAATATTGAACACTTTCCTCCCTAAGGTCAGAACAGAGCAAGGAGAGCAGCTGTCACCACCTCTAATCAACATTTTACTCTATATCCAAGCCAGGACTGTGAGGCAAGGGAAAAAAAAGTCATAAAGAAAAAAAAGTAAAACTGTCTTTATTCAAAGATAACATGATAGTGGAGATAGGAAATCCTAAGAAATCTTAAACTTTTAGGACCAATAAATGACCATCTTAGTCTGGCTGCTATCATGAAATACCACAAACTGGGTCTTGTCAACAATAAAAATGTATTTCTCACAGTTCTGGAGGTTGGACGTCTGAGATCGGGGTGCCACATGGTCGAGTTCTGATGAAGGCCCTCTTCTGGGTTGCCAATTCAATACTATCCCCAAATCAACCTTATTTCTGTCGTCCAGCAAATGTCAGAAAATAGTTTTTAAAAAGAATAGTCAAAATAGTTTTGAAATAACAATAACAAAAAATGCGAAGTACAGACAAACCTCAAACAATTCACTTCTCGACCCGACAATCCTTTCATGCTGATACCTGTATGATCAATCATGCATGTCTCGGGCAATAACAAAGGGGAGAATGCACAGGTATGAGTCAGTTCACCGCTAAACCTTATGTTGTTAGCATCTCAGGAAATTGTGCTGTGAATATTTTTGTGGGATTTTTTTCCCCTTTGTTGCTGATTATTTTTAAATTTTCATTTTTTAATACATTTCATTTTCTTTCTTTAAAATATATTTTTATTGATTTCAGAGAGGAAGGGAGAGGGAGAGATAGATAGAAACATCAATGATGAGAAAGAATCATTGATTGGCTGCCTCCGCATGCCCCCTACTAGGGATCAAGCCACAACCTGGGCATGTGCCCTGACTGGGAATTAAACCTTGACCTCCTGGTTCATAGGTCAATGCTCAATCACTGAGCCATGCCAGCTGGGCCGGTTGAACTTTATAAAAACTGAACATTAGTTGTTAAATATCTGTTCATTTTAATACACATAGATCTATTCACACTAGGAGAGAAGGGTAATGCATATATTTATTATCTTGATTGTGGTGATGTTTTCATGGGTATCTGCACAGTGTGCGGAGCAGGCCTAAGCCGTCAGTAGGACATCCCCTGAGGACTCCGAGACTGTGAGAAGGCACAGGCTGGGCTGAGGGACCGCCCCCTGCTCCAGTGCAGGAATTTTTGTGCACCGGGCCTCTAGTCATAAATAACCTCCTCCTTGTCATCATGTATCTAAGCAAACTTTCTTCAAAATACAGTTCAAGGAATGAGGTTGCTGAACAACATACCCGAGTCAAGTTTCCCCCTGCAGCCCGCTGCCGGGAGGGTCCCAGTCTCTTCACTTGAGTTTCTGACCCTTTCCTGCTGCAACAAGACAGAGGTCAAGGACTTAGGTCCATGGCATCCCCCTTCAATTTGGTAGCGTCCTCATGGTTGTGACGAAGAATTCTTCAGGCACCTGGCTGTGGCCATTCCACAAGTGTGTAACAAATGAAATGTCTTTATTTTTTACTTGTTTTTTTTTTGTCCTGTTTTGAGGGACGGGTGCAGGTTAGAGAAAGGAGCTCTATAGCCTGTCTTTCAGGGCACGCCCTGGCAGCCTTCAAAGGTCCACCTACAGGAGGGAGCTGGGTCTCAGGGCTTGGCCAAGGTTTGAAGCAGCCAGGAATGCAGCGACCCAGCTGGTCGCTCAGGAACACCTCAGTGAACAGGCTGCGGGGAAGGAAGTCATTACACAGACAGCTGGGCTGCAAAAAACAAAAATAATCCACACACCAAACTCTACAAAGCAGTGTGGCTGGGTGCCCCATGACTCAATGGGTTGTTTGCCATGTGGCACACAACCCTCACCCACTGCTGGCCACTCCTCTGAGCAGCTTGGAAATGACTGGGCGGGGGCCCCAGGGAAATCCATGACTGTCTTCTCTCTCCACCCTCTCTGCTCTGCCATTGCTACCCTCAGCAGCTCCCTTCTCCTCACCCCTTCCTTTTTACCCTTTTGCCCCTAAAAAAAAAAAAAAAAAAAAAAAAAAGGCTGGAATTTAGTATTTCACACCTGCTGGAGACTTTGTGGGGACACTGAGGTCAAAACACTGGCAACTGCCCTGGCTGGTTTGGCTCAGTGGA